TTCACCCGTTTGATGTTTGTTCCTGTGATGATAGGGTAAAGTTCTTTATGACCTTGAAAACCATTGACTGGTCAACAAGCCAACTTTCTTTAGTGTGCGAGCGTGCCACTGCTAGCAATAAAAAATCATAGCAGACTTCAAAATAGATAACTTGGGCCCAAAGTTACTAATTTCTGAACAAGCGATTGTGAATTTGGATGAGGAATATCTCCCAAGTAAGTTCTTTTCTTGTCTTAGACTGGTGAGGACTTCACAATTTTTCACAGTATAAAACTGGTAGTTCTGGCCATAATAAAAGATAAGAAAACAAACTGTTTTTTTAGGCAAAATTGCCTTTTACAAAACTCAAGAGGGAAAAACCAACTCTAGAAAGACAAATAGAAAGCTGGACTTCCATTTCTGTTTGGATAAATAGATGCTTCTCATCCTAGCTGGACTGGGTATGCCTGTGCTGGACTGGACTGTCAACAACTTCAACTGCTAAGCTTTAGCTGTAAATCGATACCAACGTTCGAGTTTGGCAGAGCTTTAATCTATTTCAAGCCCTGGAAGGGTTTTTGAACGGACATAATTGCGGCCTCTTCAATCTGAAAGGGGCAGAAGTGGCTGGACTTGAGGATTACTGAGCTGGACCTGTACTGTGGTACCTGTTCTGCTTGGTCAGGGCTCTCCATAATTTTGTTGAGGTTTTCATATTTGTAAAAACCCAGACTCTGCTTGTTTTGGCTTTTGCTGAACCAAATTTGTAACGAGAGAAATGTCGTTTTGAGTGACTTTTCTCTAAGTCTGAAACTCGAAGTTTTGATTCGTAGCTGGCTTCTTTCTTGTGGCTCAATGAGCTTTTGATTGCTTTAGTTTGTTTGAAGGTTCTTTGAGATCAAGTGATCATTTTGAGTTTTGATTGATTTTTTGATTGTCCTGCTCTTATTCACCTTCTCTCATATTTATAGGAAATGCTGGAGTGGGATATTTTAATCTTTAAATGGGCGCTAGATTTTCTAGAAAACAAGATCTTTTATTTTTAAATGTCAAAGAAAATGGAAGTTATCTATTCTGGCAAGCAGACCATCATTAGTCAGTTTTCATGGAGGTATTTTCCCTTTTTCTTGAAAGAAAACCTAACCTCTTCACTGCTCTTTGTAAGAGCTCAAACCGTGATGGTTAGTTTGATTTTTCTAGATGAACAACTCCCTACTTCCTGCTTATCTTTAAAACGCAGTCTGCTTATCTCTTGAAAATGGTGCTTGCTTTGGAGCTGAAATCTTTTCCTGAATATATAAAAAGGACTTTGATCTTCTGATGGTAGAAAAAGCTGGAGACTTTTGCCTGTTCTAAGACCTGCTTTCATTAATTCCTAACGACTCAGTTGAGATTGCTGACTTTTCAAAGCTTTATGTAGTCACGTGGGTTTGCATCTTTTTGGGCATTTTCTTTCTCATTGAATCATCCCAAGCCCAGGTCGATTGTTTGGAGCTATGGGTTGATGCCTTTCTTCTTCTCTTTTGAAGCTCAAGTTCTTGTTGTCTTTTGACAGATCCTGGGCTGGGCTTTCTTGGATTTTGGGCCCTCAATTCTTGTTTAATTGTAAAGTGCAGACTGTTTGGGTCCTGTGGTTTGTTTTGTCATTTTGGGTTTTCAGTGTTGGGCTGGGTGCGCAGAGTTTTGACCCAAACAAAAAGGAGTGTAAGTGGAGAAAATGAAAGTGGGGAAATCAGCTCCCTATATATATATGAATGAAGACAGATGTGGGAGTTGTAGAGCCTTTATATTACTGGATGCAGAGACGTTTCCATGGCAACTAATTTTTTGAAAACTACCATTCACTTCACCATTCCTCTCCAATACCGCAACCCTTTACGGGTAAGATCATTAATATGAGCACCGACTTATAAATTCTTTTTTTTTCCCCTCTCTTTAGTTATTTTGACTGATTAATTTATTAATTATTGTTGTTAATATTTTTGTTCAGCTGGAAGTGCAACACTGAGTTTTTATTTCATTTTTTTTGTATTTATTTATTTTTAACATATGAAATGACCAATTTGCCCTCATATTTAACATCAACATTGACATAATGTAACGATAGGACCAATGGAGTGATTAATATATAGTTAATAGATTATTTGAACGAATAATTTAATTGATGGACAAAAATGTAAATCGAGTACAAACTTAAGGACCATTTGAGTAATTTACCCATATCCCTTATATTTGTGAGGCCTGGGGCGAGACCAAAGAAAAGGCCTTGTATATACAATAATATTTGTTTGTGTGTCTATAACAAAGAAAAGGCCTTGTACATACAACAAAAATTGTGTGTGTAAATATTGATGCGTATTGAAAAAAGTATTTAATTTTTTTTTAGTACGAATCTAAACATTTTATACAAGTTTAGAAAATGTCAACTTGGTCAAAACCGGGCAATAATCTTTAAAGCAAGAGCCCAATTGTTATCACTTTCTTTTTACTTGTGTGACAGATGCAACAGCCGGCACATGAAAAATGCATTTTCCTGCATATCTGAAACTTTCAAGTCTTAATATATGGAACATGAAATTCTTACATCAACATGTATACATACATATATATATATATATATATATATATATGAGCTTGTCCCTTAGCAACACATATAGATCATACAAATACTTTGAAGTTCTCTACATCAAAGTCTATTATAAGGCCAAACATGATGCATTCAATCACAAAGATCATAGCCGTTGTGATCATCTCAATGGTTTCTGGGGCCGCCACGGGTGCTGATCCTCAATCTCCCTACTGCGACATCATCCTCGACCACTTGAACCCTTGCCTTCCCTATATACTTCAAGGTGAGGTGAAGCCAGCCAAGGTTTGCTGTGATGGTGTCCTGGACCTCACACAGTATACAAACGCCAAGGGAGGCCAACAAAATATATGTGACTGCGTCAAGGCTGCAGCAATTTTGATGGGGGCACCTGTTGATAATTTCTCTAAGATTTCTTCTCTTCCCAAAACTTGTGGCCTATCGGTCACACTTCCACCCATCTCAAGCGGCACCGATTGTTCTCAGTAATTAACCATTTCTGCTCTAAATTCTATCTCTAATTTCATATCATGATGCTAATGTTTTATATGGAAAGAACTAATTTCTGATTTTGGTTTCTTGAATATATTACAGGGTTAAGTGAAGATTTGATGGAAGGGGTAATGCTTCAACAGACAATGGAATAAATGAATAATTTGTCTAATGAAAGGGTAAATTTAATGAGAATATGAAGCAATATATGTGAAAATAATATTACCTGTTTTAAACTTGTGGAGTGGTTTGGAATTCTTACTCTGGTATTTGAACTCACCAGTTCCATTATCAAGCAATTCTATATCACACTATATCACGTCCCCAAGCAATATAGTTTCTAAGTTTTTTATTTTTCACCAAAATTGGATTTTGGTAAGCAATAACCTGAGCAAAGGATTTGGATTTGGTGGTTTTGTGCTAATTAAGAAGAAGGTTATTTATGGAGAATCACTGTAAGGTGATTTTAAAGTGATTATATATGGAGAAGTATTCTTTGTAAAAATGATTATTGGTCTATCGAGAATCATACCAAATGATCCCACGAGTGGTGATTACATATTTAAAACTTAATCAATTAGTTTCAACGAACCCTTCTTTTAATATATAATTATATTATATAATAATAAAAAATATTCTTTTTTATTATATATTATTGAGTCAAGTCGATGGGGAAAGTGAGAATCCCCATCCTGAAAATTATAAAACATACTAAATCGAAAAGTGAACCCTTATGCTTGCATTTATCCTCCATAAAAGTATGTTTTCTTTATCAAAGTCGGAATTCTTCTCAATTCCTTCGTCACGAGGAAAAGAACTTTTTGGTAACACCTTCTTCGCATCACGAGTAGTCTAGCTATAAGCTCTTTCCGTCTCTCTCAAAAGGAAAGTACGTAGGGTGCCACATTTACTATAACATCTTGGAGCTGATTTCATGGTCTTAATCAGTTGTTAGGCAGAACGGGCTTGTTTTGGTTGGAGGAGGGACTTGTGAAAACACAGGGGTAAATTTATCTTAACTTTATTTCATATAGGCAAGGTACGATATGGCCATTTAACTTGTATATGATAATATGTTTTCGGTGATCGTCCAAAGCATCGACTATATGGACCAAACCCTAACGATCAATGACCCCGACAACTGCCTCCCAAGAAGGTTCCTCTACCATGACATCAATCTTAAAAATTCACCCTCTTCATACGCAAGTGCCCCTGAAAACTACACGTTCGTTGGCTGCTCGTCCCAAAAAGCATTTTGGCCATGGAATTCAGCACCCGTAATCCCTTGCCTCACCAAGTACCACTACAAGGTCATATACGTTGTACAAACCAGTTCGCTTTTGCATCCGGATCCGATACTTTTGCCGGCTGGTTGCTTTAAAATTTCGACTGCTTTGGTTCCATTTTTATTTAATTCGGAGTATCTTAACTTTGGTGCTCAATTGACTTGGTACCACTGGCGGACCTGTTAAGGAGCAAAGAGGTGCAGCTGCACCTCCCCTCGCCAGAAACACCATCGTTGGTGCTTGAAATTGCTAAAATATGAAAACTATGAGAGAATATTTGTTTGTGGGAATTTTCTGTGTATTCTTCTCCTTGTAGGAGGTCATATTTATAATACAACGAAACCTGAATGGGCAAGTAAATAATAAATTCCTAAATCTATTTACAGCAGGAAATCAAGAATTAAAGTAAATCAATTACAATTATAAGAGGAATTCTTGGTGTGTAAGGAACGTAAGTCAATATCCACAAGTCACGCCAACACTCCCCCTCACGTTGGTGCATAGATGTCACCAAGGACCAACTGATCTAGTGAATTGTGGAATGTTTTACTGGAAATCGCATTTGTCAAAATATCCGCCAATTGATCCTCAGATTTCACAAAAGGAAACTGAAACACTTTAGCCTCAAGCTTTTGTTTGATGAAGTGTTGATCCACCTAAACATGTTTAGTATGATCATGCTGAACCGGATTCTGTGCAATGGCAATAGCAGCCTTGTTGTCACAAAAGAGATTCATTGTGGATGTAGGTTTATACCCAAGTTCAGTAAGCAACTTTCTTAACCAAAGAAGTTCACAAATCCCCTTAGTCATGCCTATGAACTCAGCTTCTGCACTGGATAAAGCTACTACATTATGTTTCTTGCTCCTCCATGTCACCAAATTACCTCCCACGAATGTGAAGTAACCCGATGTGGATTTTCTATATGTTACATTACCTGCCCAATCTGCATATGAATAATCATCAATATTTAGATGACCATGCTTTGAGAACATAAGTCATTTTTCAGGTGCAGACTTCAAATATCTAAGTATCCAAAGAACTGCATTAATGTGGTCTTCACTTGGAGAGTGCATAAATTGACTGACAACGCTCACCGCATAAGCAATGTCTGGTCGAGTATGTGACAAATAGATCAATCTTCCCACTAACCTTTGGTATCTTTCTTTGTTAGTTGGAACTTGATCCGGATATTCTCCAAGATGATGATTCTGAACAATAGGAGTGTCCGTAGGTTTGCAATCTAGCATTCATGTGTCTGTCAACAAGTCCAAGACATATTTCCTTTGAGAGAGAAATATGCCTTGCTGCGATCGAGCCACCTCAATTCCCAAGAAACACTTGAGTCCCCCTAGATCCTTCATCTCAAACTCTGTAGCCAGATAGTCTTGTAGCTGTGATATTTCCTGTTTATCATTCCTAGTAATAATCATATCATCAACATAGATTATTAATGATGTTACCTTCCCTTTCCGATGTTTCAAGAACATAGTATGATTTGAGTTGCACTGTTTGAAACCATTGTTCTTCATTGTCATGGTGAATCGTCCAAACCATGCACGTGGTGACTGTTTCAATCCATACAATGCTTTTCGTCACCTGCAAATTGTTCCAGTCTGAGTAGTATTATATCCAGGAGGAATGTCCATGTACACCTCCTCCGTGAGTTTGCCATGTAGAAAAACATTCTTTACATCAAACTGGTGTAGTGACCAATCTAAATTAGCTGCAAAAGACAATAAGACTCTGACGGTGTTAAACTTTGCAACTGGAGCAAAGGTTTCTTCATAGGCTATATCATATGTCTGTGTGTACCCTTTTTCCACAAGTCTTGCCTTGTATCGCTCGATAGATCCATCTGCATTGTGTTTTATAGTAAACACTCATCTACATCCGATAGTCTTTTTTCCTCGTGGTATAGTCTCTAATGTCCAAGTATGATTTTTCTCAAGAGCTTTCATCTCCTCTTTTATAGCTTGGACCCACTTAGGATCTTTCAATACTTCATAGACCTTGGTTGGAATATGGATAGCAGACAACTGATGCACAAAAGCCTTGAGTGGTTCAGACAAATTCTCAGTGGATACATGATTTGCAATTGGATACTTAGATGTCTTGCCAATATCGGGTGAATAACGGTTCGGTGGCTTCCCACGATTTTGCCTAAAAGGTAATTGATATCCAATAGTTTTATCCTCTAAATGCACAAGTCTAATAGGAGTAGTTACCTCAAGGATATTCTCAGGAGATTGGTCTGTTGGTGATGTTAAGTTAGATGAGGGTTATTCATCTTGTTGTTTTGTATTGTCTATAGGTGTGAGACTTGGATAAGAAATATCTTCGCATGGATCAAGTGGGTCAGGCAATTGATCGCTATGAATGGGCGATTGGTTGCTTTTCGACAGAGAGTAATCTCGTGCTCCAGACTCGGGATGATCACTGTACATAAGAGAATTTCTTCGTTTTCCAAGTTGCTCCAATTCTGCTCTTCACTTCGTATCTCCCCCTGAAGCATAGAATTGAATGATGGGTCATGGAAGAACAACTCAGATTCCAGAAAGGTCACATCCAAAGTGACATATGTACGTCGGGTATGAGGGTGATAATAGCGGTAGCCTTTTTGATGAGTGGCTTAACCCACAAAAACACAACGAAGCGCACGAGGATCAAGTTTGCTACGTTGATTTTTGTGGAGATGAACGAAAGCCACACATCCAAAGATTCGGGGTGTGAGTACCAAAACAGAGGGCAGAGGTCTGTGTTGCGCAAGCACTTGTAAGGGAGTTTTAAAGGTCAATACACCAAAAGGCATGCAGTTGATCAGGTGAACTGAGGTGACAATAGCATCATCCCAGTGATGGCGAGGAACACGAGCGCCAATCAGAAGTGATCGGGCGGTTTCAAGAAGATGTTGATTCTTTCGTTCAGCAACACCATTTTGTTGCGGTGTCTGAGGACAAGTCGTCTCATGAATAATTCCATATTGTTGGAAGTAAGTTTGAAAGTCATGATTGACAAATTCTCCACCATTGTCTGAGCGAAGAATATGGATTTGAGCATTAAACTAAGTTTTCATCTGTTTGTGGAAGGACTGAAAACGGGAAAACACTTCGTTTTTATTCTTCAACAAATAAAACCATGTCATCTGTGTACAATCATCTATGAATGTGACAAACCATCGAACACCAGAAGGAGCAGTGATAGGTGAAAGTCTCTAGACATCATAGTGAATTAACGTAAATGGAGTAATACATTTGTTCGTACTCAACGGGTAGGGCACACGGTGACTCTTTGCCAAAATACAAGTATCACATGTGAAGTCGGAGTCCTTGAAACCTGATAATAAATTTGGTATAAGATGTTTCATATAACTAAAAGACGGATGTCCCAATCGACGGTGCCACAACCAGATTTGCTTTTGTTTGCTATCAAAGAGATGCGTCACACTATTAGCCACGCCATGACTGAAGTCATTGACATAATATAGCCCCCCTCTCTTAGTATCACGACCAAGAATCTTCTTAGTGTGAATATCCATAAGCAAACAAAAACTCGGGTAAATGAGTACACAACAATTCAATTGTTCAGTAAACTGACTAACTGACAAAAATTTAGTTGATAAAGATGGAACAAGTAAAGTATGAGATAATGTGAGAGAGGATGAGAGTGCAACAGTGCCAGCCCTTGTCACAGGATAAGTAACGTCATTGGCATTTGCAATACAGGTTTGTCGAGGTTGTGTAGTATTCAGAAAATCATTAGGATCAAACGTCATATGATCAGTTGCACTGGAATCAATTATCCAGCTCCTGGAATCAATCTTATTGGAAGTATGGAATCCATAACCAGTACCATTACTGGTCATATTGCATTATCCTCGATCTTTAAGAGTAGCCCACCAATCGGGGTAGCCATGTAATTTAAAACAAGTCTTACGAGTGTGTCTCGGATCACCACAATATGCGCAATCTAGTCCATGTGTCGGGGTCGTTAGTCGAGAAGTCATAATCTGTGCAGCGAAAGATGCATAGGATACAGGTTGAGTAGGAATTTGAATCGGGATCTGAGCCTGAGTCGGGGTTAGAGTCGGAGTCGAAATCGGGATCGAGGTATGAATCAGAGACAAATTCGAGGTCGGGGTCATCATCGGAGTGGGGTTCGGGGTCGTCTTCGGAGTCGGGGTCGGGGTTGTCGTCGTCATAGGCAGGGTCGGGGTCGGGGTCGTCAAAATAGGATCCTGATTCCGGATCGGGTTCAGGGTTATCAAAAGAGGATCCTGATTCAGGATTAGATTTGGGGTCAAAGTATGCATATGTAGGAGCTTAGCCATCTGGGCACTCAACTCGGCTATGGTTGGTTGAGAATGAGAGAAGGAATCGGTGGTGCTACCTCCATAAGGGTTGAAAAAATCATTAACCCTCATAGCGGCGGCGGGGGTTTGAAACTAGAGTCAGCAATTACAAGATCGCCGCTCTGATACCATGCTAAAATATGAAAACTATGAGAGAATTTTTGTTTGTGGGAATTTTCTGTGTATTCTTCTCCTTGTAGGAGGTCATATTTATAATACAACGAAACCTGAATGGGCAAGTAAATAATAAATTCCTAAATCTATTTACAGCAGGAAATCAAGAATTAAAGTAAATCAATTATAATTATAATAGGAATTCTTGGTGTGTAAAGAAAGTAAGTCAATATCCACAAGTCACGCCAACAGAAATTGCCCATTTGCTCCTTATTTCTATCTTCAACATTGTTCCAAATACACTTCATTTACATTTCCCTCTATATTAAAATGCACATCATGTCATGGCACACATGAATTTGTGGATCACATGTATATGAAGACATTGGCGGACCTATTAAGGAGCAAAGAAGTGCAGCTGCACCTCCCTTCGCCAAAAACACCATTGTTGGTGCTTGAAATTGCCTATTTGCTTCTTCTTTGTCTTTTTACTTTCATTTATTTTTATATTACTCCATGTACTTAAGTTTACAATATAAATAAGGAGGTACCCCCCATTTGGATTCAAAGAAAAATACTAGAAAATTAAATTCCCCCCAAAATCAAAATTTGAAAAATTGATTTTAGTGCAAAATACGATTTAGGCTAAAAATGATAACTCATTAAGTCAATATATATTTCATAATAAAATCCCATAAAATCAAGTTTTCTTATTTGATGTGTAAGGAATAAAAGCCACAAAAAATTATCTTGAGAAAATGATTATTCCGAAAAACCATTTTTCATACTTAGTCAATATTTTTACATAGAACAATTTTTCATGTATGATATGAATGCATGAAGGGACCTAAGGTCAATCTAGGTAAAAAACCTTAGATGTTCAATCGACAAAGAGTTTTTAACCTTTCAAAATTGCATCTCCGCTAAAAAATTCTTGAGTCCGCCAGTGCTTGGTACGTGCCTAATTGTGGTTCTTGTGAAGCTAGAGGTCGTGTTTGTGGGTGGGAAAATGGTACTACAACTTCTCAAATTCGGTGCTTTGGTTCTTCCAGTATGTGAGTTTTATAATTTCATATTAATTTTCTTATTTGGATGCTCGACTATTATTTTCTAGCCTGCAACAAAACAAGGTGCTTCGGTGACAACCACTTTTGATAATTATTTTTTCCATTTTTAATTTCATCCCAGATATAAGCTTGATTAGTTTAGTGTGTATAATCACATCCACGATCATAGGATTTAAGTCGAGTTTTGAGTTACTGCCTAAATTTTAAGAATTTACATGGTGGATCGCAGAAGTGAAAAAAGAAAAGAAAAAAAGAGCTAAAACAGAGTTGATGATGGTAATCAAATAGCTAAATTTATTGTGAAGTAGTTTTTGCATTGTTAAAGGTTGCTGCATGTAGAGTTGCAACCCATCCCTTTTTCATAATCTTGGATTCACTTTGGACATGCAAGTCCGTGAAGTCCAAGACTTCTTTTTTCAAGTCAAAGAGGAAGAAGTCCTCTTCCTTTGAATTCGCAAGTGGTGGGTTCACCACCACACTTACTCTTCATTTTGTTTTGCTTCTTCAGCATGGCTGATTTTTTTCACGTGGTGGGCTCACCTTCGCAGGCTTTTATTCTTTTTCTTTCTTTGATTACATTCATCACAACATAGTAAACCAAAGGCCTTGCTTTGCTCCAGCTGGACCCCTCACAGATTGGTGCCATTAACAAGTGTCTTTTAATTTGATCAAGACACCCAAGGATAAAAATTCTTCTCCAAGTGAAGAATTAAGCTCCTTGTTGATTTGGAACTCCTGGATCATCCGGTAAGGTAAACTTCTTGTCCATATAGGATTAGGCCATATGTGTTTTTCTTATAAAAAGGAAAACATATGTGTGCACCAGCAAACAGCAACCGAACGAATCATTCTTGTTTGCTTCTCCAGACCAGCACATAACTTTGCCCAAGCCACCTGTTGCACCATCAAAAAGAAGAAACAAATTGTTTCTTCTCCTCTGAGACTTCACGTGGTAACCCACATGCCATAATCTTCCTCTTCTTCTATTATATATATATATATATATATATATATATATTTATACATATATATATGTTTTGTTTCCGTGTAGCTAACGTCTCTCTTTGAATATGCAGGTTGAGAAAGTGCTTTGCTGTAGGCCACGTTGAAAGCGTCAGGAGCAGTTTGTCTTCTTGCTTCATAAAGACAAATTTGGGTTGAGTATTTGCTTTGTCTTCTTCCATATTGAGAGCTTTTTTATCTTTACTCATTTTTCCAATCAAAGTTGACCACTAATTTTGATTCAAGATAGGGAGGCGACACAGCCCCTTTTTTTTATTTCGTTACCCTTCTTCTTTTTTTACCACGTTGCCCCCTTATTTTGTCTCTTTGCAAACAAAACACAAACAGCAAACCCGCCATTTTTTGTTTGAGTTTTCATTGATCTCTTTTGCATGTGCAGCAACAGCAAACGAGACCTTCTTAAATTGAGTGCTTCTGGAGACTTTGCTTCCAACAGACCAACACACCTCCATAGACTTTGGGTCGGTGCTTTTCTCAGTCTGCTGAATCATAACTCTTCTTCCTTTTTTTCAATTGACATATTTTCTTATCTGTTGTCCACTTCATGACGAATATCACCGAACAAACTTTTGGCTTTTGTGGTACAACAATAAGAGGAACCTAGAGAACACTAGGATTTCCTCTACGTCTTTTCAAGAGAGTTGTGCACCAGTTTCGATTTTTTTTTGATGGTTTATCCAACATGGCAAACAATCCTCACTGACTGCTGGAAAATTGGAGGTCGAACATATCTTGAAAGCATTTAGTCGGAGCTGCCTGTTGGAGAGGACGATGCCATAAAGTATGATGATTTCAATCATCATACAAGGCAATCTTCCCTTGTTGGTTGTGAACTGGATGCATCGATGGAATCATTTAAGCAGAGCCAAGCCTCGGAGAGATTCTTAACCTTGTTTATGATGATTTCAATCATCATAGCCAAGAATCTCTATCAAACAAACATAGCTGGAATTATTTGAAAGGAGCCAAGCCTTGGAGAGATTCTTAACCTTGTTTATGATGATTGAAATCATCATAGCCAAGAATCTCTATGGATTGATCAAACAAACTGGCTGCAGATCGTGTCCTCGGAAATACTCGAGTAGAGCTGTCCCTTTGAGAGATTCCTGGCCCTTTTTATGATGATAGAAATCATCATAGCTAGGGACCCTTGAGTTGAACGAAACCTGAAATCTTCAGCAAAAACCAGAAAATTGTGCTATGAAACTAAGATTTTTTTTACCTTGAAATGGCTCTTCCGTTTCTGAAGTGTGCTTGCTAATTTTTCCTTCCTGTGGCTGTTCTCTTCTCTGCCTTCTGTTTTCCTTTCAGTGGCTGTTCTCTTCTCTGCCTCCTTTTTTTTCTTCCCGTTTTGCTGCTCAGCGTCATGCCTCTTATAGAGGCTATATTATGACGAGTTTGAATTCAACCTGATGACCATTTCTCAACTGAGATACTTATCTCTTGGTGTTTCATATCCACCGAAATACATCTTTTATTATTATTATTTTTTATAAGATTGCAGGGACAAAAAATATACGACGTTTCATCTCAAATCTCTCTGGAAGGTGTCAACCATTCTCGAGGCTAATGAAAAAGGATCTTCCGTTTGTATGGGATCAAGCATGCCAAAATGCTTTGGAAAGCATTAAACAATACCTGTTGAGTCCACCAGTTCTAATGGCGCCAATTAAAGGGAAGCCTTTAATCCCATACATTGCGGCATTAGAACGCTCGTTGGGTGCATTGCTCGCCCAACACAACGATGATGGAAAGGAAAATGCACTATATTACTTGAGTAGAACTCTCGTAGGGGCAAAACAAAATTACACCCCCATTGAAAAAGTCTGCCTTGCATTGGTGTTTGCTGTCCAGAAACTACGACATTACATCCTCTCTCATAGAGTCATTTTGATTTCCAAGGCAGATCCACTCCGATATTTAATGTCCAAGCCTGTGCTCTCTGGGCGAATAGCCAAGTGGTCTCTCCTCCTCTCCGAGTTCGAGATAAAATTTGTGCCACAAAAGGCGATCAAGGGGCAAGCCCTCGCTGATTTCTTAGCTGCTCATCCTACTCCCGACAACATGGAGTTACCTGATGATTTGCCCGACGAGGAGGTGTTCACAACAGAGGCACTTACATGGTAATTATATTTTGATGGGGCAGCAAGAGGAAAAGGAGCTGGGGCAGGATTAGTGTTCATCACGCCATCTGGGGGCTTAATCCCATACTCATTCTCTCTACTAGCTCTGTGTTCAAATAATGTGGCAGAATATGAGGCACTCATCATTGGCCTTGAAATTGCTCTCGAGATGCATATTGATTGTTTGCAAGCATACGGTGATTCACAGTTAGTTGTCAGACAGTTGAATGGCCAATACGCCGTCAGAAATGCTACTCTCGTCCCATACCATGAAAGGGCAAAATATCTCATGTCACAGTTTCAAGACATTCATGTCAGTCACATCCCGAGGTCAGAAAATGATAAAGCTGATGCGCTAGCTAATTTGGCTGCATCGCTAACGCTACCTAATGAAAGAGATATCCAAATCACTGTTGGGGAACGTCATTTACTACCCCCAGCTATAGAAAGAATTGAAGAAGTTGTTGATTCAAACGTCATTACAACTTCCGAACATGAGGAAGAACAAGATGATCTCGATTGGCGTCATCCCATAATCAAGTATCTCCAACATGGCAAATTGCCAAATGACTCGAGGAAAAAGGCTGAAGTTCAACGCAGAGCCATCCGGTTTTTGTATTTAAACGACACATTGTACAAAAGATCATTTGATGGTATGTTGTTAAGGTGTTTGTCGAAACAAGACGCAACTAAAGCCCTTCATGATACTCATGCTGGTACTTGCGGTGCTCATCAAGCTGGTCCAAAACTCTCAAACCAACTGAAAAGATTGGGTTATTACTAGCCAACAATGGTCCGAGACTCAATGAAATTTGTAGCCTCATGTAAAGACTGCCAATGACATGGAGATTTTATACACCAGCCACCCCAACAATTACATCCGACAACTTTGTCTTGGCCATTTGAAGCTTGGGGATTGAATGTTATTGGCATGATAAAGCCTAAGTCATCACGCCAACATCAGTACATCTTGGCCGCGACCGATTACTTCTCTAAATGGGCTGAAGCAATTCCTTTAAAGGAAGTACGAGCAGACGATGTTACAAACTTCATAAGGAATCATATCATCTACTGTTATGGGGTTCCATCGAAGATAATATCCGACAATGCATTGTATTTCAAGTACAAGTCCATGACCAAGTTGTGCGAGAAGTACAGGTTTCAACACTCGTTTTCCGCGAGTTACAATCCGTCGTCAAACGGTCAAGCTGAAGCTTTCAATAAGGTACTGTGCAACATCCTAAAGAATACGGTCTCAGGAAATAAAAGAGACTGGCATGAGCGTCTCCCTAAAGCATTATGGGCTTATAGGACGACCATACGCAATTCAACATGATGTACACCTTACAATTTGGTGTTTGGCTCCGAGGCTGTTTTACCGTTAGAAGTCCAACTGCCATCGTTAAGGGTATCTTTACAACTGACAAACCCCGACGAAAACGCAAATGTGAGACTGGCAGAGCTTGAAGCTCTCGATGAGAAACGACTGGCAGCTCAACAAAGGCTCGAAATATATCAGGCTCAAGTTGCAGGGGCATTCAACAGAAGTTCAGATTTTTCTCAATTGGAGATTTGGTGGTTGGTTGTTGAAGGAGAATCTAAAAAGATAACGGTTCGGATCAACAAATTTGAGATAAGATATTCATATCCATAAATACATGTAAACTCCTCTATATATAAATGTAAATCATATTCTAAATATTGTCCTGATCTAATGGAAAGTATTGTGATTTCAGGCAACTCAAGTCTGCCCAGAGCTGCAAGGTATGGCATAGTGATAGGTGTGGGAATTCCAGGGCTACTGTGCTGCATCATAGGGCTTGCAGTTTATGTTTGTAACAAGACAAGGGTTCCTAGTCAGGTTCACCAGCCCACCATCACACAAATGTTATCCATACCCCGATCGACAACCTTCAACAGTCAGAATTGGCCTTGATGATCTGACGATCGAATCATATCCTGAGATTCAACTTGGCGAGAGCTGGGAATTGCCAAAACTCAATGACAACACTTGCCCAATATGTTTGGCTAAGTACCAGCCCAAAGAAATACTGAGGACCATACCAGAATGCAACCATTATTTCCATGCTAATTGCATAGATGAGTGGCTTAGAATGAATGCAACTTGCCCAGTTTGTAGAAACCCACAAAAGAGATAACAATATGTTTATGTAGTACTGGTTATTGATATATAATTGTTCCCTATATATATATATATATATATATCCCTTAGGGTAAATTACTCAAATGGTCCTCAAATTTGTACTCGATTTACATTTTTGGTCCCTCAATTAAATTATTCGTTCAAATGGTTCATTAATTAAATATTAATCGCTCCATTGGTCCTACCGTCTAATTTTCTATTAAATTTAACCAAATTTTAAGGTAAATACGACTTTTCATGATTAACAAATAAAATAGGGTTAAAATAAATACAAAATTAGAAAATAATGAAAGAAAAAGAGAAAAAAAATCATGAGACCTAAACCCCCTCCCTTCGATTTCTTCTCCCCCATTCCCCACAGACCCAAAACGTCGGATGATGGTTCTGAAAGCTTATGGTGGAACTTTTGGTGGAGGGAGGGATTGGGTGTGGTGGGTATAGAGTTGTGGGTGTGGGGAAAGAGTTTGGGAGATGAGGAGGTGAGGTGGGAGGAGAGGAGAGTGCACATGGAGGGTGAGAAATTGACAGTGACTATGATTTTGGGAGGCGGGGTTGGCGGGTGATGAGGTGGTGAGGAGGGTGGTGGGTGGTTGTCTCTCAACAACAAAGGGAAATCAAGGGGGAGGGGGAGAGGTTTGGGTGGATGTTGAGTTGGGGTTATGGGTTCGTTGGGAGGGAGTCTGTGGAAGATTTTTTTTTCTTTTCTTTTCTATAGTTGCTGGCTCGAGTGGAGGGTGGGGAGGAGCTGGGGTTCTGGGTTCATGGGGGCTGGGGTGGAGGGTGGTTGTTGGATGGGTTTGGGGGTTGGAGCTTGAGGGTGGTGGCCATGGGGGAATGGAGAGAGAGAGAGAGAGAGACAGACAGACAGACAGACAGAGACAGACAGAAGGAACACAATCTTCAAAACCTTCCCTTGTGACACAATTGGCTTTATTTTGACACTGGTACTGCATGTGGGAGTTATAGAGCCTTTATATTACTGGATGCATAGACGTTTCCATGGCAACTACTTTTTTGAAAACTACCATTCACTTCACCATTCCTCTCCAATACCGCAACCCTTTACGGGTAAGATCATTAATATGAGCACCGACTTATAAATTCTTTTTTTTTTCCCCTCTCTTTAGTTATTTTGACTGATTAATTTATTAATTATTGTTGTTAATATTTTTGTTCAACTGGAAGTGCAACACTTCTGGAGCATATGGTTTTAAGTGCAATTGTTGGAATTCCAGTTCTTGGTACCACTCTGATGGGTTTTGGAGAGAGAGAGAGAGAGAGTTTTTATTTCATTTTTTTTTGTATTTATTTATTTTTAACATATGAAATGACCAATTTGCCCTCATATTTAACATCAACATTGACAGAATGTAACGATAGGACCAATGGAGCAATTAATATATAGTTAATAGACCATTTGAACGAATAATTTAATTGATAGACCAAAATATAAATCAAGTACAAACTTAAGGATCATTTGAGTAATTTACCCATATCCCTTATATTTGTGAGGCCTGGGGCGAGACCAAAGAAAAGGCCTTGTATATACAATAATATTTGTTTGTGTGTCTATAACAAAGAAAAGGCCTTGTACATACAACAAAAATTATGTGTGTAAATATTGATGCGTATGAAAAAAAGTATTTAATTTTTTTTAGTACGAATCTAAACATTTTATACAAGTTTAGAAAATGTCAACTTGGTCAAAACCGGGCAATAATCTTTAAAGCAAGAGCCCAATTGTTATCACTTTCTTTTTACTTGTGTGACAGATGCAACAGCCGGCACATGAAAAATGCATTTTCCTGCATATCTGAAACTTTCAAGTCTTAATATATGGAACATGAAATTCTTACATCAACATGTATACATACATATATATATATATATATATATATATATATATATGAGCTTGTCCCTTAGCAACACATATAGATCATACAAATACTTTGAAGTTCTCTACATCAAAGTCTATTATAAGGCCAAACATGATGCATCCAATCACAAAGATCATAGCCGTTGTGATCATCTCAATGGTTTCTGGGGCCGCCACGGGTGCTGATCCTCAATCTCCCTACTGCGACATCATCCTCGACCACTTGAACCCTTGCCTTCCCTATATACTTCAAGGTGAGGTGAAGCCAGCCAAGGTTTGCTGTGATGGTGTCCTGGGCCTCACACAGTATACAAACGCCAAGGGAGGCCAACAAAATATATGTGACTGCGTCAAGGCTGCAGCAATTTTGATGGGGGCACCTGTTGATAATTTCTCTAAGATTTCTTCTCTTCCCAAAACTTGTGGCCTATCGGTCACACTTCCACCCATCTCTAGCGGCACCGATTGTTCTCAGTAATTAACCATTTCTGCTCTAAATTCTATCTCTAATTTCATATCATGATGCTAATGTTTTATATGGAAAGAACTAATTTCTGATTTTGGTTTCTTGAATATATTACAGGGTTAAGTGAAGATTTGATGGAAGGGGTAATGCTTCAACAGACAGTGGAATAAATGAATAATTTGTAAAATGAATAATTTGTGCAATGGCTGCATATAATGAATACATAGCTCATGTGATCATATGATCATATGTCTTTTTCCTTGAATCAATCACATTCTAATCTTCCTATTCTTCCTTCCTCACGTAGCTACCACATTGTGGTGTCCCACATGCACTTCGATTCCTTCTCCGCCCAAAAAAAACACACCAACTCTCACGTTGGGGATAAATATATAAACCTATTTAATTAGCTCTTTTATCTCAGATATAAATTTATATATATTTTTTACACATTTTTTACGAGCACGAGTGGTGTGACAGCAAAATCCCAGCCACGCTAAAACCTAATTTCCTACTATATTAAGGAGCATAAGATTCACATGAATCATGATGAAATTAACCGCAACAATAAATTACTCCATACATCTATATATATATAAACTTCCCCCATATCAACACAGCCTACAAAATTATAAACCAACAGAAATGAGGCCAAATATGACTCGTCTAACCAAGATCACTATCGTGATCATGTCACTGGTTTCTGGGTCAGCCATGGGTGATCTACCTTCCTGCGAAACCATCCTCGAACCGTTGAACCCTTGCGCCAAGCAACAAAATAATGACGTGAAGCCACCACAGACTTGCTGTGACGCTATACAGAGCCTCAGCCGGTATTCAAACGACAAGGAAGATCGACACGAAATATGCGACTGTATCAAGGCTGTAGCAATTTTGGCGGGGCTGCCTATTAATGATTTTTCTTGCATTTCTTTTCTTCCTCAAGCCTGTGGCCTATCCGTGAAACTTCCACCCATCTCTACCGACATCGATTGTTCCCAGGAAGTCTTTTGGCTAACCATAATCTATCTTTTTTGGCGCATTGATATGTTAACACAAAACATTTTGTATTAATTCCTTTAGTAGGACTTGGTGCATGGAGTGTACGTGATGACGGAGTTTGATATTGTCATTGGATTTGTATATAATATATGTTCTGGGGCAGATCGAGAATTTGTTGTTATGTATTACTATGATCACTATGTGGCATTTAGTTAATGCATAGAAAAAGATGTGGTTGGCGTATTGGGTTTATTCCCACAAGTATAATAGGCCGGCCATCACCGAAAAACTTTTGGAGAGCTAGAACTTTATTTCACCATGCCTGCCTTAATAGAATATTTCTTGATCTCCTTCATGCTCTTCTTCTTCTTCATTCCTCACCTAGCCGCAGCAAGCTCCGCCACCACCTGTGGTGAATCGACATGCACTTCCACTAGCCCTCAGATTCGATTCCCTTTCTGGCTAAAAAACCTCCAACCCTCAACCTGCGGGTATGAAGGGTTTGGTCTCACATGCAACCCTGGACACCGATGGCAAAGCATTCTCATCACTGTCCCATCTTCCTCGAGGCACTTCGCCGTCCAAGAAATCGACTACTTGAACCAAAACGTATGGATCTCCGACCCCAACAACTGCTTGCCAAGGCGGTTCATGGACAATGACTTCAGTTTTGATGGTTCACCCTTCTCATACGTGCATGCCCTCGAAAGATTCACGTTCCTCAATTGCTCTTACCAAGCAGAAGTATCGTATTCGTATCCACCCATTTCTTGCCTTAGCAATGAGCACTACATGGTCATTGGTGTGCCATCGGAGTGGATTAATTCATCAACGACGTGGTCTTCTTGCTCTGTGATTTCCGAAGCTTTGGTTCCACTCTCAGAACCATGGGAATGGGACTATCTTAATGGTTTTGGGTTGGAATGGTATGTGCCCAATTGCCGTTTTTGTGAAGCCGTACCTGGTAAAGTTTGTGGATTCGACAACAATACAAGTTCCAAGCTTGGGTGCATTAATTCAACTAACGGTACGCTTATGAGTAATATTGTTACATATACATCTAACGTAATTGATTATGTTGTCATCATACTTGACCATGATAATGTTACAATTGCAAGGCACTTGTAGTGGTTAAGAATATTTACCCATGCATCCAAGGTCTTAGGCTTAATTCTCCCCCTCCCCCAAGCGATAAAAAAAATGTATTAATGTTGCAATTAATTTCAACATTTTTTCAGGTCTCTCAAAAACTGTGATGTACGGTAAGATATGCATAGGAATTACAGGACTATTCTTTCTCGTCATTGTGATCATGTTAAGGCTGAGGGCTTGCGGTCGGGTCAATCGACCCATAATAGAATTATCAGCCATACCTCATCCACAACCTTCTGCTGTCATAATGGGGCTTGATGATCCAACCATTGATTCATATCCTAAGACTCAACTTGGAGAGAGCTTGGAATTGCCCAAGCCTAATGACAACACTTGCTCAATATGTTTGGGAAACTACCAGCCCCGGGAAACATTGAGAACCATACCAGAATGCAACCATTATTTTCATGCTAACTGTATAGATGAGTGGCTTAGAAGAAATGTGACGTGCCCGATTTGTCGAAAATCATCCGAGGGTAATAAAGGGATTGAGGCGTGACTGTTTTGTGTTACATTCTTTACATAAACTTCAATATGAAATAGAGGAGATCGTGTCAAAGAAAGAAAATGACAAAACAAGGAATGAAAGAGATCTATGTACTTCTAGGGAAAAAAAAATTGAGAGAAGAAGGAAAATAAGCTAGATGAATATATATATACTTTCCTTTTTCTTTTTTCTTAGTGTACTACTTCTTAGCATAGTATTGCTTTCTCAATGTCTAACTCTGAAGATGTGGAACTATATATTGCTAAGTGTTTTATATTGGTATTTGAAATTTAAGATATTATAGAAGCCAACACTTTTCGTAAGAGAGCTGATTTTTCCACTCTTTTTTTGTTTACTTACACTTCCTTGTATGTTATAGTAAAAAGTATTTAAAAAAACAAAAAGAAGTGTAAATAGACAAACGAAAAGTGAAAAAATCACCACCCTTTCCGCAAATGTTAAAAGGACTTGAATTGTAAAGTATTTTACTTTCTTTGGATGAGCAGCGGAGCAATTAATTCATTAAAACAGAAAAGCGGTTTTCTATTCATTTGCAACACACGACCCAACAATGAGAGAGAGAGAGAGAGAGAGAGAGAGAGAGAGAGAGAGAGAGAGAGAGAGAGAGAGAGAGAGTGGTGGTGGCTGGACACGCCTCATAGAAGTGTTGGTTCAACGGGATTCGTCTTTGGTAGTTTCCTTGAAGCTAATCTACGAAGTTAATATATTTAAGTGCATGATATATTAACCCAAAACATGTTTTGATTTGTATAAAATTAATATATGTTGTCGTGCATTGCTATGATTCCTATGTGTGTATTTGGATGGATTTCAATGAACACATCGAAACTGATGTTGATTATATTTGCCGTATTGTGTTATTCCCACTGGCATAATAAGGCCGGTCATGCACTTATTACCCAAAAAATATTGGTCTAGTTTTCATTTCACCATGTCTACCTTACAATTCTCGATCACCTTCCTCTTGCTCTTCTTCTTCATTCATCATAACGGCGCAAGCGCCCCCGCCCTCATCTGTAGAGAATCTTCGTGTTCTTCCGATAACCCACCATATACTCGATTCCCTTTCCGGCTACAAAACCTTCAACCCTCTATTTGTGGGTACTCAGAAAGCTTTGATCTCTCATGCAACAACCAAAATGAAGCCATTCTCACTCTCCCATCTTCCGGAAACTTCATAGTCAAAACCATAGATTACACTGGCCAAAACGTATGGATCACTGACCTCAATGGCTGCTTCCCTAGGTTGTTCCTCGACCATGGCTTGAGCCTACAAGGTTCACCTTTCTCATATGCGAATGATCTTGTAAACTTCACGCTCCTCAATTGCTCCTCTTCCGCAGAAACACCATATCCACCCATCTCTTGCCTTAGCAATAATGAGCAGTACGTGATCACTGCTGTGCCGTCGGATTCCACGATACCACCTTCGTGTTCTGTGTTTTCAACAGCTTCGGTTCCCCTGAGAGATCCACGCGATTGGAGCATTATTGATCTTTATGGTGTAGAGTTGGCATGGGATGATCCCGATTGTCGTTTTTGTGGAAGATTGAGAAAATTTTGTGGGTTTGAGAATGCTAAAAGGTCCAAGCTTATATGCTTTGATATTTATAAGTATTATTCTTCAGATAACGGTATGTTCATAGAACAATGTTTATGTTACATCAACTTACATATATCATCAACCTAGGGCCTCTGCCTTTGTCATTAAAAAAAATCTTTGTGTTTGGTTTAATATTTTTCCAAATGCAACTGTTGTTTGATCAAAGGAATTTACGAATTTTTCGGGACTCTTCTTTGTAATTTTCTTTTGTACTTCAAAAAAAATACCTTACATATATCATATAATATACACAGAAATCCTAAATGTTATCACTTCGCATGAACTAATGGAATGCTATTGAATTCATGTTGATTTCAACCTTTTCAGATACAGTAAGAACTTCAGAGATTGCCATAATAACATGCTTGGGAGTTCTAGGGCTACTTTTTACCACTGCGATTTTCCTAGGGCTCATGAGGACTTGTGGTCGGGTGCAGCAATCCATCGTGGAATTATCCACCATAACCAACCAACAACCTCCCGCAGTCATGAAGGGCCTTGATGATGCTACTATCGAGTCATATCCCAAGATTCAACTTGGTCAGAGTTGGGAATTGCCCGAGCCAAATGACAATACTTGTCCAATATGTTTAGGCACATACAAGTCCAAGGAAACATTGAGAACGATTCCAGAATGCAACCATTATTTCCATGCTAATTGCATAGACGAGTGGCTTAGAAGAAATACGACATGCCCGCTTTGTCGAAACCCTTCCGAGGGTAACAAAGTGATTATTGAGGCATAATTATTGTTATGTTGTGTTAAGTACTTTGTATAAACTTCAATGAAATAGAGGAGAGATCATGGCAAATAAGAAAGAACAAAATAACCTAACAAGGAATGAAAGAGATCTATGTATGAGCATACTTTTGTTTCCTCTTTTTCTTATAATTAATGTACTACTTCTTAGCAGCATTATTGCTTTGTCAATGTGAAACTTGAAGCTGTGGAATTATATTGCTAACTTATCTTTTTAATTCTTTTCCAACAAATAAAACACTTATCTTTTTTTTTGTTACATTGAGAGGAAAATAAACCCGGGGGTTTCTATTCTGGTGCCAAGTAAGGGGAAAAGGGAGGGCCACAACAACTGTGGTAACCCGATCGACAAAAAACTTATCTTTTTAATAACAATAGTTGTCATGATTTTAACTTAATCCTATTTAATCCAAAACCAAAAAAAACAAAACAAAAACAAAACTTCCTATACAAATATCTGGAGGTCTTCCGACCCTCCCTAGCCTTGTTGTAGAATTGTGCGCATTCCAACAAGGAGGGACTCCAGAACATAGTAAACAATATATAAAGCCAAAGCAAAGGATAGGCCCAAATTAGCTACATCGCAACAATTGCAGTTAGGCTACCCCATCCCAACTAAAACCTTTATTTTTTTGGTAGTGCAAAGTAGGGGGAGGGAGGCGGCTCCATCCCAAACCCAAGACCACGAAAAAACTTTCAACCCTCAAATTGTGGGTATGAAAGGTTTGATCTCTCACTCTCCCATCATCTTACGGGCACTTCATCGTCCAAGACATCAACTACATAACTAGAAGGTAGGTATTGATCACCGACCCGGACAAGTGCTTCCCTAGGCGGGTCATGGACAATGACTTCAGTCTTATAATAAGTTCACCATTTTCATACGTTCCTGCCCTTAAGAACTTCACCTTCCTGAATTGCTCGTCTAACGTGGAAACATCCTATCCATTTATCTACTGCCTTAGCAATGAAAATTACATGGTCAGGAGTGGATTGATCTGGATCCTTCATCTCTTTGTTCAGTGATTTCCACAATTTTGGTTCCACTGGAAAATCCATTTCAGTGGGACAGTGGAATGGATGCCTATATTTTTGTGAAGCAGTTCCGGGTAAAGTATGTGGGTTGGAGAATGGTTAAGGTTCCAAGCTTACGTGCTTTAGTACTATTTATCCTGATTCAAATAAGGGTATGTTTTATCATATAGTAGATATTGACATATTCTTGACTTGACAATGCTTAACTACCAAAAATAAGGGATGTCATGAATCAAGAAACTTAGATAGGATAATCAAAGATTTGAAATCAAATCAACTATTCCCCGTGATTACATTCCTGATTTTGAGGGTATTTGATGACAAATTTAAGCGTAGAACCTACATATGCTACTATTACCACATTTGTATACCACATCTTATGTGACAGCTGAAGTGGACAGCCACATCAATTAAAATTATTTAATCTTTTCTTTTATTTTATGATTTATTCCAATATTTGTTTTTCTAATTGCCTTAATTAAAATACACTTCATTGATTTAATTGATGTGACATATAATATGGACATGCCACATCATGTGGTATAGAAATGTGGGATAAAAATGTGATAAGTGTAGCATTACTCTTTTTTATTATTATGTATTAGTCAAGGCACGAGAAGTCGTGAATTAGAATCATTCTAATACCCGGTATTAGTAAAACACATTACTGGAAAGTACTGTGACAATTAATTTCAACCTTTCTCAGGTATTTCAACAACTGGAAAGTACGGTATAATGATGTTATGCAGGGAATCACAGGGCTCTTGTTCATCTTTGTGTTTGTAGCGATCAGGATAGAGGGCTTGTGGTCGGGTTGATCAACCCCCACCAACTCAATATGGTAGAATTTTCCACCATAACCAACCAACAATCACCCGTTATCAAAATTGGCCTTGATGATCAGACCATCAATTCATTGGGCCTAAACCCAAGCCTAATGACAACACATATGCTAAAGGAAATATTGAGAACTATACCAAAATGCAACCATTACTTTCTTGCTAATTGTATAGACGAGTGGAAGAAATGTAACGTGCCCACTTCGTCAAAACCCCTCAAAATGTAACGAAGTGAGGCATGACAGTACACAAATGATTAGTGCTTAATTGTATTTCATTTTGTACTCTTCTAGCTAATAATTTCGTTATGTTTTTTAGTTAAACATGTGTTTTTATCTTCTTCTTTTTTGTATTTTTCATTCAATTCATTGAACTTTAGATAGCAACGGTGGCATTAGATAAATAAAAATATGCAAAAGAGTGCAATCTAGTGACTCAATCAGTTTTCAATGGAAATACGACTTTTTGGTGGAATTTTTGTGCAAAGCCAATTGGACAATGAAGCTAAGACATTGAATATGCCTATGTAATTTTTCTAGAATTTTTGAAGCAGACACTCACAACAGTATTTCAAGACAACGCAACTTACGATGAAATTCAGACGCATCCGCATTACTGTTCCAAAAATAATATTTGAAGGTCTTTCTAATTTTTCCTTAAGATGTACTACATATGGTCAGAAAATAAGACAAAAAGCTTGAATATCCATATTTTTTTAGAATTTTATGAGCCCAAAACGTGCCAACAAACAAAC